TTTACAAATGAATTTTATATTCATTATTCATTTGTTTCAAATATAGTGTATATGTCTTTTAGAAAAACAGAAAATTTTTCTTAAGCTACATGCCAGGAATGAACCTTGTTAACTGCATGTTTCTGTTGGTCTTCAATTGCTTTACCCCGGCCTTTTAATCTTTCTTTAAAAATATTTCTTCAATGGGGCTATTTGAAATTTAAAAAAAAAACATTTGAGTAATCATTTAAAAAAGAACTTGATAGATCATAATATTTTCATAAGAAAAAGAAATACAAATATTGAAAATTGAAATTTTCTATTTGAAGATGATTTTAGCAGAAGAGATTAATCCTTCGGGTAAAAATTGGTCAATTTTTAAATAGGACGAAAAAATAAACTTTCCTCAATATTGTCTCAAATATTTATTTTAGAAACTTGTTACAACTCACACCTGCAAAACAGCTTAATATACCAAATTTCAATGGAGAAACATGTCACACTACTAAGTTCCATTGGTAAAAAAAACTTACCAGAACTTGAAGATATGAAGTCTTCAACCACAAGCACTCAACAATCCATCTTACAAGATCCACATAAAAGCTGCTAAATAATAAGGAACAACCCCATGAAAGGAGATAAATTAATAACCTCACTAAGAAGGTACCAAAAATACTCAAAACCTATCAACTATTATAGATATGAGAAATAATCATAAGTTTGGAAATTATTGGAAATGAAACTAAATAAAATAAAGAAAAATGATAGAAAGGAACAAAAAGAACCATCACCGACCAAAGAAGACGGCTGGGCGGTGGTTCAAAAAATAAAATCTAAAATAACATATAAAAAAAAGCAAGAATGAGAGAAAAACAGCTAGGTTTTTTTAGGTTGAACCGAGGAGTAATCATCTTCTAAGAAATGCTAAAACCTCCATTAACTTTTCTAATTTTTTCTCTATGTTAATTATTAGTCTTCATATCCGATTTATTCTTAGTTTAAATATTTTTTAATAATAAATTTAAATTTAAATTTAAGGATTACTAATTAATTTTAAATATTCTTTCTTAATAATATTTGTCTTTTTTTTTAAGTTTTGATATTAAAAATTTTTAATTGATAATATCAGATATAAATATTAGTTATTATCATAATAAATGAGTTTAAATATTAATTATTTAATCATAATTTAATTATACTGTTACGATTATAATTAAGTTCAAAAATTAACTGTTTTAATATCAATTATGAAAATTTTATCCTTAAGATTTCTTATTGAGTTGGTAAGTTCAAATATTAGTTCTTTAATAACTCAATTAATTATGAAATAAGTCTTTTCTAATTTAAAAAAAAAATCTTTGGATGCAAAAAATTGACTCCAAATCTTATGTTCAAACTATATATATCTTGCACGTAATCAATATGATATAAGAATTTAAAAATTTTAAATTTATATAAAACTAAAAGATTTAACAAAATATATAAAAGTATAAACATAAAGTAAATAAATAAGGTAAAAAATTGAGTGCTTAATATATTGTTCACCCTTAATTTAAGTTTTGTTTCTATTTCACTCTAATTTGACATTTATGTTAATTTCACCTTGAACTTTAACTTTTTATTGCAATAGGACCCTAAATTATAATTAGGACTTAACTTGTAAATAAAAAAAATAGGTCCTTGGGTTAATTTAATATTTTTATGTGAGTTGAGAAGTTTGGGTTAATAGTAAGGATAATCTTTGTCATTATTTTTAATATTTTTAAATTGTTTCTTTAATTGATAATAAGTAATATTTAAAAATTAATTATTTGATACATGAACACTTTTTTAAAAAAAAAGTTTTTTTTTTTTTACTCAATCCTTAATGAGTTAAGGGTAAATATGCGTGTTTTGTCGAACCATGCAAACTAACTACCTCATTCACACAAATATATTAAGTTAACTAACCCTAAGGTCAAGAGTGAAACTATTTTTTATTTATAATTTAAGGTGCTATTGCAACAAAATTTCAAAGTTCAGGATGAAATTGGAGTGAAATTATAATAAAATATTAAAATTGAGGTGAAATTGGCACAAAAGTCAAATCAGAGTGAAATTACAACAAAATCTAAAGTTTAAGGTGAAACAATATATTAAGCCAAAAAATGATTCCTTATAATAAGGCAAGAACTTTTGAAAGTATTTTCTATAGTGAATTCAAAAATTGTTTATAGAAAAATTCAAATAAATTCTTAGTTGTCAAAGAAAATAAAATTTATTTGACAAAACAAAATTATAGTGGTTTTTTCTTTGAAAAAGTAAACACTATACAGTAATATAATAAGATAAAAGTTTCACGATCGGCTTTCAATCCCTAAATAAAATTGGACAAAAACTTTCTAATTAGGATTATGTGAGACCTGAATCCGAGTGTGTAATACCCTGAATTTTTATTTTCAAAACTCATGAATTTTTAATAAATCAAAAATCTGAATTTATGACGGTTTGGGCTTAAGTACCAAATAATTTTAATCTGGGCCTAAATTGCGAGTTGGACTCAAGTCCAAAATAAGTTATCGGAACTTCTAGTCGAAAAAAATTTAAACTTCTTAGAATTGATATTGGACCACATAAAATAATAATAAAATTTTATTTACCACTTAGTAATCCTAAAGTTGATTAAATCGATTAGACAAATCAAATTAGAAAGAATAAAATGGGGTTATTCAGTAAATATTTAATTATTGATAAACAGGAACCATAAACTGGCTTAAAGTTTACTGAAACCAAGAGAAAAACTAGATAATCAAACAAAAATCGAGCTAAATCGTTGAGTTGAACCAAACTAGTTCAAATCGAACCGGAATAGCCCAGAACTCTCTAGACCCATCTTCTCCTCTCTTTTTTTTCTCTTCTTCTCTTCTTCTTCGCGCACACAAGAGCAGCGCCGCCCCTCCTCTTCCTCTCCTTCGCGTTTCCGACCACTGTTCAGCAAGATGAAGGTGGCGATCGGTTCCTCTGGCGATGCTGGACACGGTTCCAACCTCTCCTCGCTCCGATCGGACCTCCAACGACGAGAATCGAGGCCATCTACTCCGACAGTCATGCTCTTCGATCTCCAGCTACTTCTCGCCATTTCCGATGGGCTCAAGGTGAACCGAAGGTCTCGATCGACTCCTCTTCCCCATAAGAAAATTTGCCCTCCATTAAATTGTGAATTTGCTTGAGTTTTGATGAACCACCATGGACAGTGGCTTGAAGGCGGCTGTGAAGGTCGATCCGGCCAAACGAGCCACTGGCTCAACAAATTGATAGCAGATTTGGATTCCTCATGAAAATTGGAATCGGGTGGTGATGACCATGCAATTTTCTGGGCGGTTTAACTTTTTCGGCAACCGTGCATTGTGGCGACTGCGGCGGTCCGGCGACCGGCCGGCAAGACTTCAAGAGGCAGAATGCTCTCCTCTTCACGCGGATCACAGAAATAAAATCTGATTTTCAATCGGTACACTCTAACTTAGATTGATATTGGACACAATAAAATAATAATAAATTTTATTTACACTTAGTAATCCTAAAGTTGAATTAAATCGTTAGAACAAATCAATTAGAAAGAATAAAATGGGGTTTTATTAGTAAAATATTTAATTATTGAATAAACAGGAACATAAAGCTGGGCTTAAAGTTTACTGAAACCAAGAGAAAGAAACTAGATAATCAAACAAAAATCCGGAGCTAAATCGGTTGAGTTGAACCAAACTAGTTCAAATCGAACCGGAATAGCCCAGAACTCTCTAGACCCATCTTCTTCCTCTCTTTTTTTTTTCTCTTCTTCTCTTTTCTTCGCGCACAACAAGAGCAGCGCCCGCCCCTCCTCTTCTCTCTTCGCGTTTCCGGACCACTGTTCAGCAAGATGAAGGTGGCGATCGGTTCTTCTTGGCGATGCTGGACCACGGTTTTCCAACCTTCCTCCTCGCTCCGATCGGCCGCGTGGTTTCGTACTCCATCGACGAGAATCGAGAGGCCATCCTAACTCCGACAGTCATTGCTCTTTCGATCACAGCTACTTCTCGCCATTTCACGATGTGGTCGTCTCTTCAGGTGAACCGAAGGTCTCGATCGAGTCTCCTTCTTCCCCATAGAAGAAAAATCTATGCACCCTTCCTACATTACACTTTGTGAATGTATTGCTTGAGTCTTTGTGGGATGGAAGTTCCACTCGAAATCTCGCACTCAGATAAGCCTGGCTATTGAAAGATCGTGTCTTGTGGAAGTACCGAGACCCATTTCCACGGACTGAAGAACGCGGAAGACGCCCAGTGGCACACTCCAACAAATTGATAGCAAGAAAAGAGACTCTCGTGGGAGCCTGCTCGACTTACTTAAGGGCAACAATTGGGAAATGGCGCGGAGTGGATAGATGTGCAGTTCGGGGACGTTCTGATATTTTTATTGAGACAGTTTGTGGAGCTGGTTCGGTTCCGTGCGCACTGATATCACTCCGCAAGAGTTCTAGGCGAGTAGGAATGATCTACCATACTTCACCCGGTTACCACAGAATAATTGGTTTTTACATCAGAGTTGTAGTTTATACTCCTAGCTTTAGTTTTCGCAATTAGTATTTGATCATCACCGTTATTCTCTCCAGAATAATTACGTATTAATCTATCACACATATTATATATATAACTATATGAGTCTTATTGGTACTTTAATCATATTCTTACAATGTTTTTGTTATAGTGTTCGGATATTATTATTACAATACGTATTTATAGAACAATTAACTTCTGCAAGTCTTAGGATGCTTGTGCTTGCAATGACGGATGACAGATAGTGTTATGGCGGACGGGGTGACATATTACTCGACATTGCCTACAATGGGATGGGCTGATGTGTTTGACATATGGTTTATGTAAAAATTTGGACAGTCCAGTTTATAGATGAAATGCTGCCGAATTTTTAATAAAACACTTAATGAAGAATTAAATTAGTTATAAAACTTTAGTTATTATTATTATTATTATTATTATCATTAGGAATATCATTATTATTATTATAACAAGAAATTTTATCTAAAGGTTATAAATTAGAATAACTAAATAAATAGGGAAACTATATATATAAAGAAATATACAGTTTAGTTTGATATGTGAGTAAAGCAAATAGTAACCAAAACTAATAATTAAGGTAAAAGTACGTTTCTCGAATTAGACCTCTAATGTAGAACTAAAACTAATAATTAAGGTAAAAGTACGTTTCTCGAATTAGACCTCTAATGTAGAATTTTCTTATTATGTTAGATGTTTATAAGTTCCGAAAGGTGGAGACAAATGCTAGAAGCGTGCAATAATAAAGATAGTCCTTTAAAGGACAATAAAAAACTGTGAGTAGTGTTAGATAACTAGTATCATCTGCTTGCATTCATGCATTCACGGTGAAATGTTATCATGCATTAATTTGTTAAATTGCCATATTGTGCTGCATTATTGTTTGATTAAGGATTGCTTGATTATCTGTGATGTGATATTGTTGTGCCTTGTTTGTGTGGAATTGGAACGAAGTGGGTAACCATGGGTTTGTGAGACTGTTACTGTTATATGGATCCTGATTCTGTTTATGGATCTTCTGATTATGATTACCCGTTACCGTGATTATCACTGTATTACTGTGTATATGTGATCCTGATTCTGATTAATGTTAGCTGAGGTAAATTGGGAGATCGGCGCCCCCGTGTGCACCTACATGATACTGCATTTACTCATACCGAAGTTTCATTATAGAAAAACCCACAGGTTGGCCTCTTGTTTGTTGCGCCACCTGATAATCTAGATTTTGATCGCAGCCCGCAGGGTGGCCTCCTGTTGTGATGCACCTGGATGATCTAGTTATTGGAAGGAGACACTGGCGTTGCCTCCTGTTGGTATAAAAAAAAAAAAAAAAAAAAAAAAAAAAAAAAAATAAAAAAAAAAAAAAAGAGACTAAAAAAAAAAATGAGAGGAGTGGTCATTGTGAAGGACTAGACCAGTCGGCCTAGATAAGGGGATTTTGGCTCCCTGGTTGCACATGTGACAGTGGATTGGGCCATGTTGGGAGACGGCTCATCGTGTGTTTCCGGTGACTCCACTGCACTAATTTCCACGTGATATGATTACATGAAAGGTGATGATAATTGGATTGCTGTTGTAGGTTGTCATTTGTTGAAGGTGATGATAATTGTGATTGCTGTTGTATTGTCATTTGTGTGACAAACTGCATGATCATAAAATTAATCGGTGACCAGATAAAAATATTTTTGCATCTGTGTGATTGTGTGGGATGAGAGGGTTATCTGCCCTACTCACTGAGTCTAGTACTCACCCCCCCCCCAACCTCTCCAGGTAATAGATGGAAAAAAGAATCCTGAAGTCCAATGGAACGAACGAGATATGGATCGATAGGACTAATAATCATTGTATTGAACATGTAAATGCAAAGGATAGTGAGTTATGGAGTAGAGTTCCGCAATTGTATTCCAACTGGGTTGTGAATGAATAAAAGAGTATAGACATTTATTATTTGGATTGTACTTTGGATATAATCGTGACATCAATTATTGGGCCTGAATCCACAATTGTGAATAGAATGCGAGTTTTTAATACAGGCTTACTACGGGTTTCGGGGGCCCTTAAAGTCCCACCCAAAGGTCCGGAGTGTCCGGTTCCGGTCCATGGACAATGGGTCGTGACAATTTGGTTATCAGCGAGCTCGAACCCGCCTCCAGTAAGATGTATGGTTCAGAGGAACGGGAACCACGCGGAAGCTGCGTGGGCCTGTGACATTCCCGACCCGAGGCAAAAGCGATCCTAGAGGGCCGCAGGTAGAGCGAAGCCTCCTGGCTAGCTTTCTAGGATGGCAGGCTAGCTAGCGGTAGTGAAATGTGCGGATTTACAGGAATGAATCTGAATCATATATTCGAAAGGGGGAAACTAATTCATTAGGATGCCGCCTTTTGGTGGGAATGGCTGGAGAGTTTGGAAGAACCTCCAGGGTTAACGTGCTCGCTTAACGAAATCCTAGGCATGGGTGACCTCTTAGGAAGTTTCCCCATTTCACGCTGCGGGGACAAAACCGTGCCGGGGGACTACACTGAGGTGTAGGGCGTCGTTGGACTATTACCAAAGCGGACAATTCTCTGGTGGTTAGCAGTCGGGGCTTTCTGACAGCAGTGCCAGGTTCTGACCAGCTAAAAATGGAATCGGAACCATGCTCATTTGGGTAAGATTCATGGAAGAATTCTGTAGAGTCTCGCACTTTAAATTTTCATTTTAAAGGTAAACTTAAAAAAAAAAAAAAAAAAACCTATTAAATTGACTTATAATTAAGAAAATGTCACTAATCATATTGAAACCAAAAAGGATTCGTATGACTAGATTTCGGTTTTTAAAATGAACCAATTACCACTGGCCTTAAATTAATGTTAACATCAAAGATGAAAATATTTAAGTTTGAAAAAAGAATGACATTTATACCAAAGCCTAATAAAACATTGGTCAATTAATTTAAATAAAGTAATAAAGAAAGCGATGAATAAAATAAAAATGAATAAATAAAGCAACAAATCGAGGGAGTATTGCCTCTGGCCTCTTGATGGGATATTTCTAAGCCCAACACGCGTTCTCCCAGATTCAAATTAAAATTAAAAGAAAGGGAAAATAATTTATTTGAGTTCATGAGGTTTACCATAATTAAATCCTAGGATGGGTGACCTCTTAGGAAGTTTCCCATTTCACCTGCGGGACAAAACCGTGCGGGGACTACACTGAGGTGTAGGGCGTCCGTGGACTATACCAAAGCGGACAATTCCTCTGGTGATTAGAGTCGGGGCGTGACAGAGTGCCAGGTTTGATCCACTAAAAATGGAATCGGAATGCTCATTTGGGTAAGATTCATGGAAGAATTTTGTAGAGTCGCTACTTAAATTTCATTTTAAAGGTAAACTTAAAAAAAAAAAAAAAACCTTTAATTGACTTTAATTAAGAAAATGTCACTAATCATTGAAACCAAAAAGGATTCGATGACTAGATTTTCGGTTTAAATGACCAATTAACTGGCCTTAATTAATGTTAAATCAAAGATGAAAATATTTAAGTTGAAAAGAATGACATTTATACAAAAGCAATAAACATGGTGCAATAATTTAAATAAAGTAATAAAGAAAGCGATGAATAAATAAAAGTGATAAAATAAAGCACAAATCGAGGGAGTATTGCCTCTGGCCTCTTGATGGGGATTCTAAGGCAATCACGCGTCTCCCAATTCAAATTAAATTAAAGAAAGGGAAAATAATTATTTAGTTCATGAGGTTTACCATAATTATTTAAGTAGTCTTCCACATTTAATATAATGTTTAACTCATCCTCGACATTTGCCTCTGTCTCATTAAAAGTCCCTCCATCCAAATTTAAGAGTTTTTGCCGATAGCAACCTATGAAAAATACTGAAATATCCTTCTGGTTGATGTGGACAACCATAATGTTGCAAAGATTTACACAAAACAAAAGTAGATGCAGATAAAAATTTTTATGAAGCAAACAAAGGGGAATAAAAAACACAAACATTCAACAGAGAATCAAATAAAGAAAGAAAGAAAGAAAATAAAGGAAAAAAAGAACAAACATGAAGGGAAATTGTAAACAGCAAAAACAACAAAACAACAACAGATCTTGCAAGACTTCCACATGTTAAATGAGGAAACTTAAGACGGAACCATGCATTGAGAGATCCAGGGTAAATCAAGGATTATCAACATTTGTTCTTTTAAGCTTCAAGTTTAAGGATTATTGAACGAGAAAGTAGTATCAAAGAATATGAATGCTTGAATAGCCCCAAAATGAAGAAAGATTCACTATTGAATAATAATTATAGCTATGGTCTCTAAGAGGAACAAAGAAATTAATAAACCATCTTCAACTTGGATTGAAAAACCATTATGACATCTGATAGCCAAATTTAGGCTGCAAAAGGGATGCTTAGTTGTAAATAAAATGAATTTAATATCTAAGTCATGAAAGGATTAGAAAGAAGAGAAAATATGAGAATTTTTCATTCCAGCAATACGTCAAACAATTGGTGTGCTTCAAGAAAAAATTTTCATCAACAAAACTCCTTCCTTGAAAATCAAGAAAAACAAGAAAGGTTAAAATCAAATCAAAATCTGAAAATCCAAACTCCAAAAATTAAAATGAAGTCTTTTGAATCGAACATTTACATTGAAGATAACCAAATCACCAATAACAACACAGATCACAACTGGCAAACAGTCATCTGCATGAAAAAGTAATGAAGTAGAAGCCTATAGATTCTGTCGCTGTTGTTAATGGCGGTAAAATCAAAATCTAACATGTTTTGCTCCTTGGAGCAGAATCTAAAAGAGTGATATCGATGACTTTTTCCTAGGGAGTTGAGGTTCGATACGGAGGCAGTGCCTATGTCTTGGGCATTCCGCTTCTACTTCATCGGCTGAAGAGAAGGTGAAGGTGCAAGATAAGTGGAGGAGAGAGGATGAGGAAATGAAGTTTGAAGTAGAGGCTTGGGAGGTGATATTAGTTGGAGAGATTAAGGTGGCGGAGGCTTTGATTAGAGGTTGATAGGTGGTGGTAATCGTAGAGGAGTGATAAGGATTGGTGGCGGTGGTGATGGAGGGCTGTAATAAATATGTATTGATTTTTGTCCATGGGCATATATTGTCATTCAAAAAAAAACCCATCTCACCTGTCTCTTTAATTTTACCTCACTTTAATGGTAGAAACATCCAAAACTGAATGAAGGGAACATTTAATTAGACAAGGCAAATGTGAGGGATAATTTAAATATTATATAAAATGTCAAGGACTATTTAGATAATTATGGCAAATCAGAGGGACTCAATTATTTTTCCTCAAAGAAAAAGAAGAAAAGAAGGGAAAAAAGATATTTAATGGATTTGATCCGCAGCTTGGTTTTAGAGACACAAGTCTACTTGCTTATCCGTTGGAATGGAAATCAGAACCAAGTAGTTATATCCAATGTAAAATTGGGGTTGGTTGATTTTAATTTGAAAAATGGGTTCGTTAAAGACCTTATTATCATATTTTCAAGGCGTTGGATTGCCATTTGATGAAAAAAATCTTGATGTTGGATTGCCAGATTTAAAAATGAATTTGTTGACTTTGGTTCACCGAGTTGAAAATAAATTTCTTGGCTTTAGATCGCCGTATTATTATTTTATTTCTTGGCTTTGGTTGTCGGATTTTAGAAAAGAAAGTCTCTTTGGAGCCATTTAAATGAGGAGAGCAATATTTAAATGATTAGAGCCATAGAGGATTTACCTATAGACATAGCCACGGTTCCGGAACCGATGGTTCCGA